CACCTGCAGAACTTTCAGTGTTTTGGTAGCTGCTTGTCCAGGGTGTAGGCAGTAGGCTCAGATGGAAGAAGCTTCTCCTTGAGATCGTCAAGCTCCTGTTGAGTGTTGGCCAGCTGATAGCAGGTTGATTTGCATCCTAGGATCTGTTGGAGCACTGGAACATGCTGCTGTGCTGATGGTTGTGGCAGCCGTTCATCCAGGATCTAGGCAGGAGAGAAACAAGCATATGATGTTGAAACAAACAAAGTCAAAGAGCTCAATAAGTTTTCATGGATGGCAATCGCTGTCACTCTCCATTTACTCTAGAGGATCATTTTATCACTGCCCTTCAATACGCAAGAGTTCTTAATCACACAAAAAAGGATGAAGTTGCCAGAGCCCTAAGCTAATGCCACTGCCTGTAGTGATGTTTCTGAGGGTGGGAGGGAGGGTCCAGTAGCAGGTCACAATGTGGAGTTGCCACAGCAGTTTTGGAATGTGGAGAGTGTCATGGCCTCTTAAAGGGCCCTGCCCCTCAGTTGTCTAAGCATGGCTGATGCACCACGTTTCCTGGACCTTTCTGAAGTTTACCACTGATGGGGACCATCCTTTACCCTCCATTCTTACTACTTAGAGTTATGTACGTTTGTGTTGATTACATAGGCCTGTTTCTTTTCTCAAACTTCAGTGACATTCAATTGATAGGAATACGAGTTTCCCAAGAAGTTTTACGTTCCTATGTCACTTTACCACTTCATTAAGCCTATTGCATATCCTATGTGTTTTTCAGAAGTAGAAGTATTTTTATTTTTCAGTTGAGGGAATGTAGGGGATTTGCCATAATGGTTAAGATGCGTCCCAGGACACCTGCATCCAAGATCAAAGTGCCTGGAATCACGTGTTAGCTTTGTTCCCAACTTCACCTTTCTGCTGCTGCTGCTGCCCACCATGGGAAGTAGCATAGCAGATGATGCTCCCTTAACCACCTGTGTGGGCCGCCTACACTGAGTTCCTGCTTCTTGTCTTGGCTTCTACACACAACAAGCCATTCTGGTGCTCAGGTTGTGCTGAATGTGTGATAAGTCTTTTGGATTGTCTTCAAACAAATAAGGCACATCATGCAATTTAAGGTGTTTCTATTGGGTCAAAAGCAGGAGGAATACATTGGGAGATCAGAAGCACTTGTCTCTTCCATTTTCCTCCATTCTTGCACCCTTTGCTTCCAGTAGGTGATTCACATGGGCATTCATCCTTGTCAACCATGGAAACATTATCAATGATAACATGAATCCAGCATGTTATCCAAGGTGGTATCAAGACATCTTTAGAGAAGATGAGAGATGTGACTGGTAATCCGAATAAAGATAAAATACAAACCATTGCAGAAAAAAAAATATAAAAGGATCAGAGTTTGTGGTCTACTCATAACGAATATGATTCATTGAAGTAAACTCTTCAAAAAGGAACGAATTGATACGAGGGGACAAGTAAATTTTCATGAAGTGTTTGCTAAATGTCACATAAAAATAAAACAGGATTCTTTTCCTATTGTTTCCGCTTGTACTTGATTTGATAGAAAGATCGCAATATTATTATGAAGTTAATTAAATAATAATAATTGTATCCTAAATAATTAGGGCAGGCAATATACTGAAATATGTGTTCCTTTCCTTTTTCAAGGAATAACACAGTTGAATTGACAAGTAAAATGTGAAATTAATGACTTTTCACGGTATTGATGAAGATTTAATCAATAAAAAGTAAAACTTTAGACAAGAAGGAAACAAATAAGCAAAACTTTAAAAACGTATCTAATATGAAAAAGACAGGAAATGGAAAAAGGAACAAAGTAAAGGAATATGTCATGCGCAAATAAAAGCCAAACAGGTAAATAAAAACAAACCAAGAAATCAAATAACATTCATGTATTAAACCCTCTGACTGAAAGTCTACTGTTTTCCTAATAGCTAAAAGGAGAGCAAAAGAGAAAGGGCCTAGTGTGGTAGCCTAGTGGCTAAAGTCCTTGCCTTGTATGAACCAGGATCCAATACGGATATTGGTTCGAATCATGGCTGTTCCACTTCCCATCCAGCTCCCTGCTTGTGGCTTGGGAAGCAGTGGAGGATGGCCCAAAGCCTTAGGACCCAGCACCTGCATGAACCTGAGGCTGCTGGCTGCTGGCTCCTGGCTTCAGACTGGCTCAGCTGCAGCTGTTGAGGCCATTTGGGGACTAAATCAGTACATGAGAAAGATCTCTTCTTCTCTCTGCATATCTGCCTTTCTGATAATAAACAAATAAACAAATAAATAAATATCAGAGAAGAGAGAGAGAGAAAGATCAAAAGTCCTTAATCAATAAGAGATAAATTGTTTTGTGTGACAAACAAGCATCTCTGTGTCTATAGCAGGGATCAGTAAGAGGGATTATTACCCAAGGCCCAACCTGTATCTCATCTCATTTCTCAGAAGAAAGACAATCACCCAGCACCTGCAGAACTTTCAGTGTTTTGGTAGCTGCTTGTCCAGGGTGTAGGCAGTAGGCTCAGATGGAAGAAGCTTCTCCTTGAGATCGTCAAGCTCCTGTTGAGTGTTGGCCAGCTGATAGCAGGTTGATTTGCATCCTAGGATCTGTTGGAGCACTGGAACATGCTGCTGTGCTGATGGTTGTGGCAGCCGTTCATCCAGGATCTAGGCAGGAGAGAAACAAGCATATGATGTTGAAAACAAACAAAGTCAAAGAGCTCAATAAGTTTTCATGGATGGCAATCGCTGTCACTCTCCATTTACTCTAGAGGATCATTTTATCACTGCCCTTCAATACGCAAGAGTTCTTAATCACACAAAAAAGGATGAAGTTGCCAGAGCCCTAAGCTAATGCCACTGCCTGTAGTGATGTTTCTGAGGGTGGGAGGGAGGGTCCAGTAGCAGGTCACAATGTGGAGTTGCCACAGCAGTTTTGGAATGTGGAGAGTGTCATGGCCTCTTAAAGGGCCCTGCCCCTCAGTTGTCTAAGCATGGCTGATGCACCACGTTTCCTGGACCTTTCTGAAGTTTACCACTGATGGGGACCATCCTTTACCCTCCATTCTTACTACTTAGAGTTATGTACGTTTGTGTTGATTACATAGGCCTGTTTCTTTTCTCAAACTTCAGTGACATTCAATTGATAGGAATACGAGTTTCCCAAGAAGTTTTACGTTCCTATGTCACTTTACCACTTCATTAAGCCTATTGCATATCCTATGTGTTTTTCAGAAGTAGAAGTATTTTTATTTTTCAGTTGAGGGAATGTAGGGGATTTGCCATAATGGTTAAGATGCGTCCCAGGACACCTGCATCCAAGATCAAAGTGCCTGGAATCACGTGTTAGCTTTGTTCCCAACTTCACCTTTCTGCTGCTGCTGCTGCCCACCATGGGAAGTAGCATAGCAGATGATGCTCCCTTAACCACCTGTGTGGGCCGCCTACACTGAGTTCCTGCTTCTTGTCTTGGCTTCTACACACAACAAGCCATTCTGGTGCTCAGGTTGTGCTGAATGTGTGATAAGTCTTTTGGATTGTCTTCAAACAAATAAGGCACATCATGCAATTTAAGGTGTTTCTATTGGGTCAAAAGCAGGAGGAATACATTGGGAGATCAGAAGCACTTGTCTCTTCCATTTTCCTCCATTCTTGCACCCTTTGCTTCCAGTAGGTGATTCACATGGGCATTCATCCTTGTCAACCATGGAAACATTATCAATGATAACATGAATCCAGCATGTTATCCAAGGTGGTATCAAGACATCTTTAGAGAAGATGAGAGATGTGACTGGTAATCCGAATAAAGATAAAATACAAACCATTGCAGAAAAAAAAATATAAAAGGATCAGAGTTTGTGGTCTACTCATAACGAATATGATTCATTGAAGTAAACTCTTCAAAAAGGAACGAATTGATACGAGGGGACAAGTAAATTTTCATGAAGTGTTTGCTAAATGTCAAATAAAAATAAAACAGGATTCTTTTTCTATTGTTTCCGCTTGTACTTGATTTGATAGAAAGATTGCAATATTATTATGAAGTTAATTAAATAATAATAATTGTATCCTAAATAATTAGGGCAGGCAATATACTGAAATATGTGTTCCTTTCCTTTTTCAAGGAATAACACAGTTGAATTGACAAGTAAAATGTGAAATTAATGACTTTTCACGGTATTGATGAAGATTTAATCAATAAAAAGTAAAACTTTAGACAAGAAGGAAACAAATAAGCAAAACTTTAAAAACGTATCTAATATGAAAAAGACAGGAAATGGAAAAAGGAACAAAGTAAAGGAATATGTCATGTGCAAATAAAAGCCAAACAGGTAAATAAAAACAAACCAAGAAATCAAATAACATTCATGTATTAAACCCTCTGACTGAAAGTCTACTGTTTTCCTAATAGCTAAAAGGAGAGCAAAAGAGCAAGGGCCTAGTGTGTTAGCCTAGTGGCTAAAGTCCTTGCCTTGTATGAACCAGGATCCAATACGGATATTGGTTCGAATCATGGCTGTTCCACTTCCCATCCAGCTCCCTGCTTGTGGCTTGGGAAGCAGTGGAGGATGGCCCAAAGCCTTAGGACCCAGCACCTGCATGAACCTGAGGCTGCTGGCTGCTGGCTCTGGCTCCTGGCTTCAGACTCGCTCAGCTGCAGCTGTTGAGGCCATTTGGGGACTAAATCAGTACATGAGAAAGATCTCTTCTTCTCTCTGTATATCTGCCTTTCTGATAATAAACAAATAAACAAATAAATAAATATCAGAGAAGAGAGAGAGAGAGAGCAAGATCAAAAGTCCTTAATCAATAAGAGATAAATTGTTTTGTGTGACAAACAAGCATCTCTGTGTCTATAGCAGGGATCAGTAAGAGGGATTATTACCCAAGGCCCAACCTGTATCTCATGTCATTTCTCAGAAGAAAGACAATCACCCAGCACCTGCAGAACTTTCAGTGTTTTGGTAGCTGCTTGTCAAGGGTGTAGGCAGTAGGCTCAGATGGAAGAAGCTTCTCCTTGAGATCGTCAAGCTCCTGTTGAGTGTTGGCCAGCTGATAGCAGGTTGATTTGCATCCTAGGATCTGTTGGAGCACTGGAACATGCTGCTGTGCTGATGGTTGTGGCAGCCGTTCATCCAGGATCTAGGCAGGAGAGAAACAAGCATATGATGTTGAAAACAAACAAAGTCAAAGAGCTCAATAAGTTTTCATGGATGGCAATCGCTGTCACTCTCCATTTACTCTAGAGGATCATTTTATCACTGCCCTTCAATACGCAAGAGTTCTTAATCACACAAAAAAGGATGAAGTTGCCAGAGCCCTAAGCTAATGCCACTGCCTGTAGTGATGTTTCTGAGGGTGGGAGGGAGGGTCCAGTAGCAGGTCACAATGTGGAGTTGCCACAGCAGTTTTGGAATGTGGAGAGTGTCATGGCCTCTTAAAGGGCCCTGCCCCTCAGTTGTCTAAGCATGGCTGATGCACCACGTTTCCTGGACCTTTCTGAAGTTTACCACTGATGGGGACCATCCTTTACCCTCCATTCTTACTACTTAGAGTTATGTACGTTTGTGTTGATTACATAGGCCTGTTTCTTTTCTCAAACTTCAGTGACATTCAATTGATAGGAATACGAGTTTCCCAAGAAGTTTTACGTTCCTATGTCACTTTACCACTTCATTAAGCCTATTGCATATCCTATGTGTTTTTCAGAAGTAGAAGTATTTTTATTTTTCAGTTGAGGGAATGTAGGGGATTTGCCATAATGGTTAAGATGCGTCCCAGGACACCTGCATCCAAGATCAAAGTGCCTGGAATCACGTGTTAGCTTTGTTCCCAACTTCACCTTTCTGCTGCTGCTGCTGCCCACCATGGGAAGTAGCATAGCAGATGATGCTCCCTTAACCACCTGTGTGGGCCGCCTACACTGAGTTCCTGCTTCTTGTCTTGGCTTCTACACACAACAAGCCATTCTGGTGCTCAGGTTGTGCTGAATGTGTGATAAGTCTTTTGGATTGTCTTCAAACAAATAAGGCACATCATGCAATTTAAGGTGTTTCTATTGGGTCAAAAGCAGGAGGAATACATTGGGAGATCAGAAGCACTTGTCTCTTCCATTTTCCTCCATTCTTGCACCCTTTGCTTCCAGTAGGTGATTCACATGGGCATTCATCCTTGTCAACCATGGAAACATTATCAATGATAACATGAATCCAGCATGTTATCCAAGGTGGTATCAAGACATCTTTAGAGAAGATGAGAGATGTGACTGGTAATCCGAATAAAGATAAAATACAAACCATTGCAGAAAAAAAAATATAAAAGGATCAGAGTTTGTGGTCTACTCATAACGAATATGATTCATTGAAGTAAACTCTTCAAAAAGGAACGAATTGATACGAGGGGACAAGTAAATTTTCATGAAGTGTATGCTAAATGTCAAATAAAAATAAAACAGGATTCTTTTCTATTGTTTCCGCTTGTACTTGATTTGATAGAAAGATTGCAATATTATTATGAAGTTAATTAAATAATAATAATTGTATCCTAAATAATTAGGGCAGGCAATATACTGAAATATGTGTTCCTTTCCTTTTTCAAGGAATAACACAGTTGAATTGACAAGTAAAATGTGAAATTAATGACTTTTCACGGTATTGATGAAGATTTAATCAATAAAAAGTAAAACTTTAGACAAGAAGGAAACAAATAAGCAAAACTTTAAAAACGTATCTAATATGAAAAAGACAGGAAATGGAAAAAGGAACAAAGTAAAGGAATATGTCATGTGCAAATAAAAGCCAAACAGGTAAATAAAAACAAACCAAGAAATCAAATAACATTCATGTATGAAACCCTCTGACTGAAAGTCTACTGTTTTCCTAATAGCTAAAAGGAGAGCAAAAGAGCAAGGGCCTAGTGTGGTAGCCTAGTGGCTAAAGTCCTTGCCTTGTATGAACCAGGATCCAATACGGATATTGGTTCGAATCATGGCTGTTCCACTTCCCATCCAGCTCCCTGCTTGTGGCTTGGGAAGCAGTGGAGGATGGCCCAAAGCCTTAGGACCCAGCACCTGCATGAACCTGAGGCTGCTGGCTGCTGGCTCTGGCTCCTGGCTTCAGACTGGCTCAGCTGCAGCTGTTGAGGCCATTTGGGGACTAAATCAGTACATGAGAAAGATCTCTTCTTCTCTCTGCATATCTGCCTTTCTGATAATAAACAAATAAACAAATAAATAAATATCAGAGAAGAGAGAGAGAGAGAGAGAAAGATCAAAAGTCCTTAATCAATAAGAGATAAATTGTTTTGTGTGACAAACAAGCATCTCTGTGTCTATAGCAGGGATCAGTAAGAGGGATTATTACCCAAGGCCCAACCTGTATCTCATCTCATTTCTCAGAAGAAAGACAATCACCCAGCACCTGCAGAACTTTCAGTGTTTTGGTAGCTGCTTGTCCAGGGTGTAGGCAGTAGGCTCAGATGGAAGAAGCTTCTCCTTGAGATCGTCAAGCTCCTGTTGAGTGTTGGCCAGCTGATAGCAGGTTGATTTGCATCCTAGGATCTGTTGGAGCACTGGAACATGCTGCTGTGCTGATGGTTGTGGCAGCCGTTCATCCAGGATCTAGGCAGGAGAGAAACAAGCATATGATGTTGAAAACAAACAAAGTCAAAGAGCTCAATAAGTTTTCATGGATGGCAATCGCTGTCACTCTCCATTTACTCTAGAGGATCATTTTATCACTGCCCTTCAATACGCAAGAGTTCTTAATCACACAAAAAAGGATGAAGTTGCCAGAGCCCTAAGCTAATGCCACTGCCTGTAGTGATGTTTCTGAGGGTGGGAGGGAGGGTCCAGTAGCAGGTCACAATGTGGAGTTGCCACAGCAGTTTTGGAATGTGGAGAGTGTCATGGCCTCTTAAAGGGCCCTGCCCCTCAGTTGTCTAAGCATGGCTGATGCACCACGTTTCCTGGACCTTTCTGAAGTTTACCACTGATGGGGACCATCCTTTACCCTCCATTCTTACTACTTAGAGTTATGTACGTTTGTGTTGATTACATAGGCCTGTTTCTTTTCTCAAACTTCAGTGACATTCAATTGATAGGAATACGAGTTTCCCAAGAAGTTTTACGTTCCTATGTCACTTTACCACTTCATTAAGCCTATTGCATATCCTATGTGTTTTTCAGAAGTAGAAGTATTTTTATTTTTCAGTTGAGGGAATGTAGGGGATTTGCCATAATGGTTAAGATGCGTCCCAGGACACCTGCATCCAAGATCAAAGTGCCTGGAATCACGTGTTAGCTTTGTTCCCAACTTCACCTTTCTGCTGCTGCTGCTGCCCACCATGGGAAGTAGCATAGCAGATGATGCTCCCTTAACCACCTGTGTGGGCCGCCTACACTGAGTTCCTGCTTCTTGTCTTGGCTTCTACACACAACAAGCCATTCTGGTGCTCAGGTTGTGCTGAATGTGTGATAAGTCTTTTGGATTGTCTTCAAACAAATAAGGCACATCATGCAATTTAAGGTGTTTCTATTGGGTCAAAAGCAGGAGGAATACATTGGGAGATCAGAAGCACTTGTCTCTTCCATTTTCCTCCATTCTTGCACCCTTTGCTTCCAGTAGGTGATTCACATGGGCATTCATCCTTGTCAACCATGGAAACATTATCAATGATAACATGAATCCAGCATGTTATCCAAGGTGGTATCAAGACATCTTTAGAGAAGATGAGAGATGTGACTGGTAATCCGAATAAAGATAAAATACAAACCATTGCAGAAAAAAAAATATAAAAGGATCAGAGTTTGTGGTCTACTCATAACGAATATGATTCATTGAAGTAAACTCTTCAAAAAGGAACGAATTGATACGAGGGGACAAGTAAATTTTCATGAAGTGTATGCTAAATGTCAAATAAAAATAAAACAGGATTCTTTTCTATTGTTTCCGCTTGTACTTGATTTGATAGAAAGATTGCAATATTATTATGAAGTTAATTAAATAATAATAATTGTATCCTAAATAATTAGGGCAGGCAATATACTGAAATATGTGTTCCTTTCCTTTTTCAAGGAATAACACAGTTGAATTGACAAGTAAAATGTGAAATTAATGACTTTTCACGGTATTGATGAAGATTTAATCAATAAAAAGTAAAACTTTAGACAAGAAGGAAACAAATAAGCAAAACTTTAAAAACGTATCTAATATGAAAAAGACAGGAAATGGAAAAAGGAACAAAGTAAAGGAATATGTCATGCGCAAATAAAAGCCAAACAGGTAAATAAAAACAAACCAAGAAATCAAATAACATTCATGTATTAAACCCTCTGACTGAAAGTCTACTGTTTTCCTAATAGCTAAAAGGAGAGCAAAAGAGCAAGGGCCTAGTGTGGTAGCCTAGTGGCTAAAGTCCTTGCCTTGTATGAACCAGGATCCAATACGGATATTGGTTCGAATCATGGCTGTTCCACTTCCCATCCAGCTCCCTGCTTGTGGCTTGGGAAGCAGTGGAGGATGGCCCAAAGCCTTAGGACCCAGCACCTGCATGAACCTGAGGCTGCTGGCTGCTGGCTCCTGGCTCCTGGCTTCAGACTGGCTCAGCTGCAGCTGTTGAGGCCATTTGGGGACTAAATCAGTACATGAGAAAGATCTCTTCTTCTCTCTGCATATCTGCCTTTCTGATAATAAACAAATAAATAAATATCAGAGAAGAGAGGGAGAGAGAGAGAGATCAAAAGTCCTTAATCAATAAGAGATAAATTGTTTTGTGTGACAAACAAGCATCTCTGTGTCTATAGCAGGGATCAGTAAGAGGGATTATTACCCAAGGCCCAACCTGTATCTCATCTCATTTCTCAGAAGAAAGACAATCACCCAGCACCTGCAGAACTTTCAGTGTTTTGGTAGCTGCTTGTCCAGGGTGTAGGCAGTAGGCTCAGATGGAAGAAGCTTCTCCTTGAGATCGTCAAGCTCCTGTTGAGTGTTGGCCAGCTGATAGCAGGTTGATTTGCATCCTAGGATCGGTTGGAGCACTGGAACATGCTGCTGTGCTGATGGTTGTGGCAGCCGTTCATCCAGGATCTAGGCAGGAGAGAAACAAGCATATGATGTTGAAAACAAACAAAGTCAAAGAGCTCAATAAGTTTTCATGGATGGCAATCGCTGTCACTCTCCATTTACTCTAGAGGATCATTTTATCACTGCCCTTCAATACGCAAGAGTTCTTAATCACACAAAAAAGGATGAAGTTGCCAGAGCCCTAAGCTAATGCCACTGCCTGTAGTGATGTTTCTGAGGGTGGGAGGGAGGGAGGGTCGAGTAGCAGGTCACAATGTGGAGTTGCCACAGCAGTTTTGGAATGTGGAGAGTGTCATGGCCTCTTAAAGGGCCCTGCCCCTCAGTTGTCTAAGCATGGCTGATGCACCACGTTTCCTGGACCTTTCTGAAGTTTACCACTGATGGGGACCATCCTTTACCCTCCATTCTTACTACTTAGAGTTATGTACGTTTGTGTTGATTACATAGGCCTGTTTCTTTTCTCAAACTTCAGTGACATTCAATTGATAGGAATACGAGTTTCCCAAGAAGTTTTACGTTCCTATGTCACTTTACCACTTCATTAAGCCTATTGCATATCCTATGTGTTTTTCAGAAGTAGAAGTATTTTTATTTTTCAGTTGAGGGAATGTAGGGGATTTGCCATAATGGTTAAGATGCGTCCCAGGACACCTGCATCCAAGATCAAAGTGCCTGGAATCACGTGTTAGCTTTGTTCCCAACTTCACCTTTCTGCTGCTGCTGCTGCCCACCATGGGAAGTAGCATAGCAGATGATGCTCCCTTAACCACCTGTGTGGGCCGCCTACACTGAGTTCCTGCTTCTTGTCTTGGCTTCTACACACAACAAGCCATTCTGGTGCTCAGGTTGTGCTGAATGTGTGATAAGTCTTTTGGATTGTCTTCAAACAAATAAGGCACATCATGCAATTTAAGGTGTTTCTATTGGGTCAAAAGCAGGAGGAATACATTGGGAGATCAGAAGCACTTGTCTCTTCCATTTTCCTCCATTCTTGCACCCTTTGCTTCCAGTAGGTGATTCACATGGGCATTCATCCTTGTCAACCATGGAAACATTATCAATGATAACATGAATCCAGCATGTTATCCAAGGTGGTATCAAGACATCTTTAGAGAAGATGAGAGATGTGACTGGTAATCCGAATAAAGATAAAATACAAACCATTGCAGAAAAAAAAATATAAAAGGATCAGAGTTTGTGGTCTACTCATAACGAATATGATTCATTGAAGTAAACTCTTCAAAAAGGAACGAATTGATACGAGGGGACAAGTAAATTTTCATGAAGTGTATGCTAAATGTCAAATAAAAATAAAACAGGATTCTTTTCTATTGTTTCCGCTTGTACTTGATTTGATAGAAAGATTGCAATATTATTATGAAGTTAATTAAATAATAATAATTGTATCCTAAATAATTAGGGCAGGCAATATACTGAAATATGTGTTCCTTTCCTTTTTCAAGGAATAACACAGTTGAATTGACAAGTAAAATGTGAAATTAATGACTTTTCACGGTATTGATGAAGATTTAATCAATAAAAAGTAAAACTTTAGACAAGAAGGAAACAAATAAGCAAAACTTTAAAAACGTATCTAATATGAAAAAGACAGGAAATGGAAAAAGGAACAAAGTAAAGGAATATGTCATGTGCAAATAAAAGCCAAACATGTAAATAAAAACAAACCAAGAAATCAAATAACATTCATGTATGAAACCCTCTGACTGAAAGTCTACTGTTTTCCTAATAGCTAAAAGGAGAGCAAAAGAGCAAGGGCCTAGTGTGGTAGCCTAGTGGCTAAAGTCCTTGCCTTGTATGAACCAGGATCCAATACGGATATTGGTTCGAATCATGGCTGTTCCACTTCCCATCCAGCTCCCTGCTTGTGGCTTGGGAAGCAGTGGAGGATGGCCCAAAGCCTTAGGACCCAGCACCTGCATGAACCTGAGGCTGCTGGCTGCTGGCTGCTGGCTCCTGGCTTCAGACTGGCTCAGCTGCAGCTGTTGAGGCCATTTGGGGACTAAATCAGTACATGAGAAAGATCTCTTCTTCTCTCTGCATATCTGCCTTTCTGATAATAAACAAATAAACCAATAAATAAATATCAGAGAAGAGAGAGAGAGAGAGAGAGATCAAAAGTCCTTACTCAATAAGAGATAAATTGTTTTGTGTGACAAACAAGCATCTCTGTGTCTATAGCAGGGATCAGTAAGAGGGATTATTACCCAAGGCCCAACCTGTATCTCATCTCATTTCTCAGAAGAAAGACAATCACCCAGCACCTGCAGAACTTGCAGTGTTTTGGTAGCTGCTTGTCCAGGGTGTAGGCAGTAGGCTCAGATGGAAGAAGCTTCTCCTTGAGATCGTCAAGCTCCTGTTGAGTGTTGGCCAGCTGATAGCAGGTTGATTTGCATCCTAGGATCTGTTGGAGCACTGGAACATGCTGCTGTGCTGATGGTTGTGGCAGCCGTTCATCCAGGATCTAGGCAGGAGAGAAACAAGCATATGATGTTGAAAACAAACAAAGTCAAAGAGCTCAATAAGTTTTCATGGATGGCAATCGCTGTCACTCTCCATTTACTCTAGAGGATCATTTTATCACTGCCCTTCAATACGCAAGAGTTCTTAATCACACAAAAAAGGATGAAGTTGCCAGAGCCCTAAGCTAATGCCACTGCCTGTAGTGATGTTTCTGAGGGAGGGATTGAGGGTCGAGTAGCAGGTCACAATGTGGAGTTGCCACAGCAGTTTTGGAATGTGGAGAGTGTCATGGCCTCTGAAAGGGCCCTGCCCCTCAGTTATCTAAGCATGGCTGATGCACCACGTTGCCTGGACCTTTCTGAAGTTTACCACTGATGGGGACCATCCTTTTCCCTCCATTCTTACTACTTAGAGTTATGTACGTTTGTGTTGATTACATAGGCCTGTTTCTTTTCTCAAACTTCAGTGACATTCAATTGATAGGAATACGAGTTTCCCAAGAAGTTTTACGTTCCTATGTCACTTTACCACTTCATTAAGACTATTGCATCTCCTATGTGTTTTTCAGAAGTAGAAATATTTTTATTTTTCAGTTGAGGGAATGTAGGAGATTTGCCATAATGGTTAAGATGCGTCCCAGGACACCTGCATCCAAGATCAAAGTGCCTGGAATCACGTGTTAGCTTTGTTCCCAACTTCACCTTTCTGCTGCTGCTGCTGCCCACCATGGGATGTAGCATAGCAGATGATGCTCCCTTAACCACCTGTGTGGGCCGCCTACACTGAGTTCCTGCTTCTTGTCTTGGCTTCTACACACAACAAGCCATTCTGGTGCTCAGGTTGTGCTGAATGCGTGATAAGTCTTTTGGATTGTCTTCAAACAAATAAGGCACATCATGCAATTTAAGGTGTTTCTATTGGGTCAAAAGCAGGAGGAATACATTGGGAGATCAGAAGCACTTGTCTCTTCCATTTTCCTCCATTCTTGCACCCTTTGCTTCCAGTAGGTGATTCACATGGGCATTCATCCTTGTCAACCATGGAAACATTATCAATGATAACATGAATCCAGCATGTTATCCAAGGTGATATCAAGACATCTTTAGAGAAGATGAGAGATGTGACTGGTAATCCGAATAAAGATAAAATACAAACCATTGCAGAAAAAAAATATAAAAGGATCAGAGTTTGTGGTCTACTCATAACGAATATGATTCATTGAAGTAAACTCTTCAAAAAGGAACGAATGGATACGAGGGGACAAGTACATTTTCATGAAGTGTATGCTAAATGTCAAATACAAATAAAACAGGATTCTTTTTCTATTGTTTCCACTTGTACTTGATTTGATAGAAAGATCGCAACATTATTATGGAGTTAATTAAATAATAATACTAATTGTATCCTAAATAATTGGGGCAGGCAATATACTGAAATATGTGTTCCTTTCCTTTTTCAAGGAATAACACAGTTGAATTGACAAGTAAAATGTGAAATTAATGACTTTTCACGGTATTGATGAAGATTTAATCAATAAAAAGTAAAACTTTAGACAAGAAGGAAACAAATAAGCAAAACTTTAAAAACGTATCTAATATGAAAAAGACAGGAAATGGAAAAAGGAACAAGGTACAGGAATATGTCATGCGCAAATAAAAGCCAAACAGGTAAATAAAAACAAACCAAGAAATCAAATAACATTCATGTATGAAACCTTCTGACTGAAAGTCTACTGTTTTCCTAATAGCTAAAAGGAGAGCAAAAGAGCAAGGGCCTAGTGTGTTAGCCTAGTGGCTAAAGTCCTTGCCTTGTATGAACCAGGATCCAATACGGATATTGGTTCGAATCATGGCTGTTCCACTTCCCATCCAGCTCCCTGCTTGTGGCTTGGGAAGCAGTGGAGGATGGCCCAAAGCCTTAGGACCCAGCACCTGCATGAACCTGAGGCTGCTGGCTGCTGGCTCCTGGCTTCAGACTGGCTCAGCTGCAGCTGTTGAGGCCATTTGGGGACTAAATCAGTACATGAGAAAGATCTCTTCTTCTCTCTGCATATCTGCCTTTCTGATAATAAACAAATAAACAAATAAATAAATATCAGAGAAGAGAGAGGGAGAGAGAGAGAGACAAAGATCAAAAGTCCTTAATCAATAAGAGATAAATTGTTTTGTGTGACAAACAAGCATCTCTGTGTCTATAGCAGGGATCAGTAAGAGGGATTATTACCCAAGGCCCAACCTGTATCTCATCTCATTTCTCAGAAGAAAGACAATCACCCAGCACCTGCAGAACTTTCAGTGTTTTGGTAGCTGCCTGTCCAGGGTGTAGGCAGTAGGCTCAGATGGAAGAAGCTTCTCCTTGAGATCGTCAAGCTCCTGTTGAGTGTTGGCCAGCTGAGAGCAGGTTGATTTGCATCCTAGGATCTGTTGGAGCACTGGAACATGCTGCTGTGCTGATGGTTGTGGCAGCCGTTCATCCAGGATCTAGGCAGGAGAGAAACAAGCATATGATGTTGAAAACAAACAAAGTCAAAGAGCTCAATAAGTTTTCATGGATGGCAATCGCTGTCACTCTCCATTTACTCTAGAGGATCATTTTATCACTGCCCTTCAATACGCAAGAGTTCTTAATCACACAAAAAAGGATGAAGTTGCCAGAGCCCTAAGCTAATGC